TGAACTAACCCTTCAAGCAACAGAGATGCTTTTCTGTAAACCTCAGTTGTAAGAAGTGGTTATTTGATTGCCTTTTTAATCTGGCTGTTTTCCTCTGTCCTCTGTCCTGGTATCAACAAGGCGTTTCCAACCCAGAGATAGCATTGCTGCTTTCTGGGTATTACAATAGTTTTTTTTTCTTCTTTTTTGTTTATGAAATACTAAGATCTGCCTGTCTGGCACCATCAACCATACAATGTTCAAAGTCACTTAAAGGAATGAAGCCTGATTTATACTTTCGCCTGGCGCTTTGTTGCTGACCTTCGTTGCGCTTTTTCATTCATCAAGTATATTTTTCACTCATCGAGTATAAACCAGGCTTGACTGAAAACATTTTCTCACCCTTCTCTTGCTAAAAACCTATTTAAATTTCTTTTACTGTTGAACACAATAAAAAAGATATTTCAAAAGAAGGTGGAAACCTGTAACCATTGACCTCCACAATATTTTTTTTTACATACTAAGGAAGTAAGCGGTTACAGGTTTCTAACATTTGAAAAAAAAAAAACTTTTGTGTTCCAACAGTAAAAGGAAACTCATTGGAAACCACCTGGGTGTGATACTCTGTTTTAAACTCCAGCAGATCTTCCAGACTATGTATGCATTTTTAAAGCATGTTATTGGCCAATTAGATCTTTGGATTAAGCATCAGTTGAACGGATGAACCTAATAAAGCAGCTTACTAACATCCTTCAAAATTTGATCTTTTATTATTATTATTATTCACTTAACCTGTTGTTGTTTCAAACTTGTTCTTTTAGCAGAAAAACATCCTTTTAGCAGGTTACTAGTTGTGCAACACAATTCATATTCATGTGCATTGTTTCTGTCATTTTTTTAGACTCGCCTACTTATACACAGAAAAGTCACTTTATTAACAAGAACAGCAGCAATGTGAGCTTGGAATGTTGGTCACTTCATGACAAAATACTTTTCAGACAATACAAACAGCACACAGTGCATTTAATAACTGCCTACTGTACAGTACGTAATGTGGAAAACATCTTTTTTGGAACGAGAGAGAGGAAAAGGGAGAGCAAAATGGAGGGGTGCTGAGTTTTTCCCCCTCATTTAAGCCTGCCTAATTATTTTGGGCTCCTTGGCCCCTCCTTGAGGAGTTGGGTCTCTTTGAAATTTCTTATTTGAGTCGGCCTTGATTAACGAAACTTCTGGCGAGTTGATGAAACTGCACTTCACAGGATTTACTCGTGCTTACCACAGTTTTTCCTCCCATCTTTGTTGTTGTTGTTTGCGGTTTTCCATCTCATGGTGATTGTGTTTAAACCCCATCTATCTCTCTCTCTTTCTCTCTTTCTCTCTCTCTCTCTCTCTCTCTCTCTCTCTCTCTCTCAGTTATCTGTGCTAGAGAAGCTTATCAGTGTTGAGTCCTCTGAGCTCTGGGCAGACAGCTCTCTTTTGCATTAGCATCTCAACACTCTCAGCTCTTTCTCCAAATAGGCTCTCACACACAGTCAGACACAATCTGTGCTACATACTGAAAAAAAAAAAAAAATGAAGGAATTAAAGTCAAACAGGAGCCTGGAGAAGGGAGTATTTATGTTTGTGTGTGTGTGGTCAGTCTGCTGAAGTTATTAAGACCTCACACATGGGTAAATTATTAGACTAGGTGCCTGTTTGCGAGTAAAAGGCCTCGGGAAAACTCTCCAAACATTCTTTAAATTGCTGTGGTTTATTTTATCACCTTGTGCTCACTCACACCTGACTGGAAATCACAACAGCGAGCAAAGAGTCAGAGCTTTCCTCAAAGCCTATAGATAACATAATCGTTCACGCTTGTATTATAGCCATATCATTATGTGATTATTACAGTGTGCTGAGAAAGGTTTTGATGTTGTTCTGTATAGGTATTGCTGTTTATTTCCTGTGAATTTGCTGAAAATGTGTTTTTTTTTTTCAAACGATTAACAATTAAGTGTTTGTTTATGAGTTTACAAGCAGAGGAAGATGCACATGCACACCTGGGTTATGCAGAAAGCAGCACTTTAACATGTGAGGAGGTAAATGATGTGTGGGGGCATAAGCGATTGCTGCACACGCATCACGGCAGCTAAAACATATATACAGATGTGTTGCGACCTCTGTTTATGCAGTTTATTGGTGCTAGTTTGGGTCTTTTTGTTGCAACCATTGTATATCTTGTGTTTTGAGCTGCTGTGTTTTTCTGTCCACACTAAAGGCTGATTTATACTTATGTGTCAAGCGCACACGTATGCTCCAGCGTAGCCTTTGCTTGGGCGCATAGCCCTTGCTGTGGCCGTCGCCAACGTTGATGCCAACCTCTCAAAAAATGTAACTACACATCGCAACGATGCAAAGCGCAAGCTCTGTAATTGGTCGGCTTGGTAGCGCTGACGAGTGTAGGCGGGATCGAGAGCCGTACAAACTAGTTGGAGCGAATGTTTACAAGTGTTGAGTCTCGTGAAGGAGGTCCACGGTTCATAAATCATAATCATGGTTATTTTGGTTATAATTGTTATCACAATATTCAAAACCATTATCAGTTGAAGTCAAAATTCAGCGATCCTGTGTGTGTGTTTTTTTATTTTTTTTATGAATATTTCCCAAATGATGTTTAACAGATTTAGGAATTTTTCACAGTATTTGCTATAATATTTTTTTCTTTTGGAGAAAGTGTTATTTGCTTCATTACAAATTAAACTAACTGTGCTTTAATAAATTTTCACTGTAATAAAAATCTTTAGCTACAAAAGTCCTTCAGTCAAGAGCAGTGAGTGATTTTCTCTTTTTGTTGTTTGATTATTAGTGATAAAAACAGGGGGCAGCAGGAAAATTGCGTGCTGTCACTTTAATGCAGAGATCGCGTTAGACTTTGTCATTGTCCGTCATTTTGAAGGAGAGGGTTGTAAAAAATCTGTCATAACGTGTTATTGACTGTCAATTAATTTGCATATTTTCTAATCGCTTTATTTATTCATATTTTAATAATGAACTTGCACAACAAGCATATAGGCTAAATTATTAATTCATTTATTTGACAAATGAATAAATAACTCATATCTGCCTTACCTCCTAATATCTTTTTCCTGCGTCGACATGGACTGGGTGCTTGCCTGTGCGTAATCAAATGCATCAAGAGAGACTGATGCAGAGGCAGTTGTCATTAAATTCTGTGTCTTTGCCTCGGAAAGTCGACTTCTCGTGACAGTTTTAAATTGGTTCTGGAGGCTGAAGCCGCGTTCTGCTGCCAAACTGGAGAGTCCTTGCCAGAAGTGGCCCGGACTCTACAGACAGACTCGGGCCAGATATGGTTAACAGGAATTGGGCCAGTGCTTTACAGCTGCATCACAAACGTGTGTGCGGGAGCGAGCTGCGGGCCATACTCGGCCCGGATAACACTCGCCGATGCTGAGTCGGAGCCGGAGGCGCCAAAGGGCAGCCGAGCTTGGGCCGATTGATACCTGCTATCTGGGTAGCGCCACTTAAGACCGCGTTTTGTAGTTAGGAAACATTTCTCCTAGGGAAGTGATAAGAAGTTTGTTGGATTTTCTGAATGTGGGATTCAGACCGCATTTTGTAGTTAGGAAACATTTTTCCTAGGGAAGTGATAAGAAGTTTGTTGGATTTTCTGAATGTGGGATTTCCCGGTCTTGCAAGCACTCGTTTCACTGGGAAAAAATACTGCAGCATGCGCTCCTTCAGCACCAGGGGCGCGGCTTCACCCCTCTGCGTTCGGTAGTGCTCAGCTCACAACGCACTGCAAAGCACCTGACCTCCTTGTTGCTGCTTGGTTGGCCCGTAACAACAGCTGTCGGCAATAAGGATTTTTGTCTGTTTGTTCTTCATCGTTCACTGCATCACTTCATCTTTTTTTCACCTTTATTATTAATATCGCAACTATTTGGCCGTTTAAAAGAAACTTCTCGCACTCAGCTGCAGTGAGATTTTTACAACTGTACGCAGCAGTGACAAGAGGAGACAAAACAAGGTCAATCGCCATCAGCTGGACAGGAGTGGGAATTACAGCTACAAATTACAATAGATCACCCTCAGCATAATCCGTCAAAATGACGGATGACCTTCAAATTTTTCCGTCACAGCTGAAAAAAATCTGTCAATGACGGAAATTATTCGGTTAACGCGACCTCTGCTTTAATGGTTTCTCTTTCACATGTCTTTTGATTCTTAACTCGTTTGTTTATTACGCTCTGCACACACACAACACCATGCGATCTCTTTCGTGTGGAAATACTACTTTTCTTTTTTTCTTTTTTACTACTGTTCCGTCTTTTTCTCTGGAAATACTACTAATAATATGTATGCTTCTAATATTAATGATAATTATAATTACAATGATACTGCCACTAATAATAATAATAATAATAATAATAATAATAATAATAATAATAATAATAATCATCATCATCAAAAATACAATAATATGTATATGATTTTTTTTAAATAACAACAAAACTTGTATTTTAAAATGAATAATTGTAGTTTAAATGTTCTAAAATAAAGGGCATTTAAAGGTCTCTCTTTCTCTCTCTGTCAGCTCCAGCGGTGTCTAACTGTACTCGCTCATGTATGACTCTGCAAATATTCCAGCATGATGAGCTATTAGTTGTGGATTAAAGGCGGATGATCACTGGCCCGCTCTGTCCACAGTTATCCACTTACTCTCCCACTATATCATCACACCTCATGCCAGGAACATTTGCAGAAATAGAGAAAAAAAAGAGGAACATCTGAAAATTAGTCAGAAAGGCAGACATCATGGAAACGATTTCAGCAGGGAATGTAGGAAAACAGGATCATGTGGTAGAAAGCTGACTAACTCAAACATGTACGGCAGCCCGGCAGCCCTGCATGCAGTAGATCTGAGGGCCATGAGACAGTGAGTTTACACTGGTTTGTATTGTGCTGTCTTACTTCTTAATAACGTGACTGATGTGTTTTTTTTTTTGCTGTTGTGTTTTCAGCCTCACAAAGACGGTGGAGATTTCTGGGGAACAAGGGCCTTTAGGAATACACGTGGTGCCGTATTGCTCCTCTCTCAGCGGAAGGTTAGTACAGCACATTTCCCATTTTTCCATATTCACACACACACAAAACACACTTTGGTGATACATGTCTTAGCTAAAGCATGTTGACGTGCGTTGGAGAAATCTAAAGCTCCACTGCAAACATCCAGAGCTTTGTTTGTGTCTACATGTTTTTGTTGCGGGGGATTATGGGAATGTTCTGTGCTGCTCTGTTGGTTTTGAAGTGATGAATCAGAATGTTGTAGCTTTTAGTTCAAGTTTTTGGGCTATCTTTATACTAGCGTATGAAGGTAAGGTTGACAAAATAAAGTTTAGTTTAAATATTCAAAGTTGCTTTGAATGGAAAAACTGGCTAAAAGTTTTGATGACTCATTTTATGCCAGTTATATTTACTCTTGAATGATAATGACCCTCTCCCATCTGCAAATATATATAATCCAATATGATTTCGATAGAATGTATGATTCGTATGTACTGTGAGTATACATGTGGCTACGAGCCGACATCTTATGTTGCTTGTTGGCATTTTTATTGCTTTTTTCCCACCGATTATACTTTATGGATTTTATCACATATTCATTGAGTCGTTAAATTGTTCCTGAACTGATGTATGTCAGACATCTCCATTGCTTCACACAGGTTTGAAATATACTTGCGGTGGTAGCCGGATTGAAACACACTATTTACACATCACATATATAGTTATAGCTATATGCAACAAATAAAATATAATTGAATTTTTAACAATATTTGTATTTATTGTGACACTGTTTCTTTTCAATAGGTTGAGGTAAAAATAAAAAAAGTTAAATAAAAAAAAAGAAATTCTACTCCTACTCAGGAGCCATGTGCACCCACTGACACGTTAAATCTGGTTCTCTCTCTTTCTCTTTAAAGTTTAAAGCAAACTTGAATGCCAAAGAATTTTAGATATGTATATAAAATAGCCTGTGTAACTTATTAACATCATCAAATTGATGAAATAATTAGCAAATTAGAAATAAATGACAGGAAAAGGAATAAAAACAGACAATATCTCTAAAAAATATCATAATAACATGATTAAAACTTGTAAATTAAGTAAGGCAAATGCGTGGATTAACTATTAATGGTGTACATGTATTTTGCAGCCAGTTTAGACCAATCATTTTGTCATCTCTGAGTATAAAGTAAAGTTTTTTTTTTTTTTTAATCGTTGATGGTAAATAATCTACTGTTTATTTTTTTCTCTCTGTCTTGAGGCTGTGCGCACTGTCAGCTGTGAAGCAAGCGGAAAGTAGTCTTTAATAAAAGAGGAATGCAAAAATGCATACTAGCTTTAGAAAGCAAAAGCAAACGTTGAATCAATGTATATATAATGTGTGTGTGTGTGTGTGTGTGTGTGTGTGTGTGTGTGTGTGTGTGTTTGTGTACTTATTAGATTGTATTGTATTATATTGTATTATATTATATTATATTATATTATATTGTATTATATTATATTATATTATATTATATTATATTATATTATATTATATTATATTATATTATATTATATTATATTATATTATATTGTGGTTTTGTTTACAATTTTTTTTTATTACAGAACAGTCTAAGTAAACAAAATACATACAAATTGAAAGGTTTTATATATATTTTATTTTATTATTTTTTTATTTATGTTGTGGTATTAAGGTAAAAAGTCTTTCAAAGTCTTGCATTTCAATTCGTTTATTCATTAAACTTTCTCACATTTTGAATTTAAAAATTTAATTAAAAAAGTGACCATGTGTGTTTCTGTGGTCATCTGAGCACTGCAGCTGCTGTCTGGAGCGGTCAGCAGTAAATACACCCGCAGCAGGGCTGGAGGATCAGCATCCACTGCTGGCTCAGGCAAACTCAGCAGCACATTTTGTAAAGGTCAATGAGTGGGGTTAAAAGTTAAGCACTTCAGCGGCTTGAGGAAAGCCAGTTATGAAATAGAAGATAGATTTTAGACTCAAAAGATACAACCAAAATGCTTTCTACTCCATTATGTAATTTTCATGACTTTTAGTTACACATAATCATTTGTATCAGTATGCTGATTTGGTCCTCAAAAAACATTTTTTTTGATTACTATCAGCACTGAAAAACTGTGCTTTTTAATGTTTGATATAAAATAGGATTTATTTTATGATTATTTGATGAACATATTCCAAAATAACACATTTATTAAGAACATTCTTGGTTTCTTTCCAGATATTAGTATTATTTTAAATTCTGATTTAATTCGATGAAATAGTACTGTATATTAGGGATGTAACAATATTGTAAATACCGTCATACCGCAATAGTAATTTTTTTCAATATAACCGTAGGTGCATGACTCAATAAAACTATATTTCTGAGAAAAGTTTGCTTAGGCAAATGAAGCGAACGGAAGGTAGCAGGAACTACAATTCCCATAAGCCTAGGCGTGGCCATCATCCTTTGCGGTCTGTTGTCACTACAGATCCAGTAATGCTGAAATGGAGGGTGCTGCTAGTAGCGGGGAAGAAAAAGAGCTGGAGATGATCGAACCTAAAGCAAGTTTTAAATCGGTTGTGTGGAAGCATTTTGGTTTCTTTCTAAAAAGATACGAAAAAGGAGAAAAGGTGACAGACAATGAAAAAAAACAGTATGCAGGCACTGCCAGACTGTGGTGAAATATAAGTCAGGGAATACGACTAAAACAGTCATGGGGACCGCAGAACACAGTTTATTTATTTATTTATTTTTACTTTTTATTTATTTTTTTTGTAAATTTAGTTTTATTTGTTTATTTATTTATTTATTTTTACTTATTTATTTATTTATTTATTTATTTTTATTTATTTATTTATTCTTATTTATTTAATAATTTTTATTTTCTATTAATAAATAAGTAAATTATTATTATTATATTTATTTATTTATTTATTTATTTTTATTATTATAATTTTTTTCTTTTCAAAATATTATATATTTGTAGGATGAAGTGTAGATTTGGCCAGCATATTGCTCATTGGCAGATCAATATTTAGTGGCTATATTATTTGAAAAAAGGATACATTGAGAGTATAGTGGCAAAGTTATGTTTGTTTGGAGTTTATGTAAATAAAGTTTAGTAATAAAAACAGGATTTAATGTATGTGTTTTTTTTTTACAGAATTAACCTTCCCTTTATACATTTTTTATAAAAAGTTTGTTACTAAATTTGTAAAATATTTAAATATTGTTCTTGAAATTAGTATTAAGCATGATGTGTTTGACTTTTCTAATTTGGCCAGCAGTAGACTGTCAATCAAGGGTCACAAAGTCTTCAAAGTGCAGTTTCTGAGTACTGTATCTTCATCAACCTACTGTATGTGGAGCGGCTCAGTTGATGAGCAGATGTTTCAGGCTTGAGCGTCTCACTGTCTGACATGCAGAAAGTCACTCTTTGTTTCTGACTGAATCTGAGTCATCAGAGTGTCACGAGGGACTGAAACTGCACTTAAGTCTTAACCCTAGAACCATTAGATATCATTGTTTGCCTAAAACCGCCAGTGGGGAAAAGTTACATGCACATGACTATCATTAATATATGGCAAAAAGTACTATTTTAGTATATGTCTAAACAAAGTAGTGCCTAAATCCAAAGAAAGGATTAGTAATCGAGTATATTGCTTAGCCAATCTAGGATGTATCACTCATTTAAAATATTAAACCACCGTCACTCATGACTTTTAGTGCCTATCATACCAGTTTGACTTCCATAAATTGCATTCTGTTTTGCATCGTGACTAAAACATATTCAGTGTATAAAATTACACTGATTCGGGTACATTTTTAGTAGTAGTATTATACAAGTAGAAACACACATTATGTGAAGTTCTTTCTAAAAATATAATGTTTGCATAAATATTTAGGGACACTTTGTCCTGAAAATATTCCTTTGAAGACTTTCACTATACATGTTTTTTCTATGCTCCCATAATCATAGATTCAGCTGATTTTCATCCCTTTTGTGTTTGCTAAGTTATATTAACACTTTTATTTGAAATTTTAGTAATGAAAAACAATATATATATTATGTGTCTGTTCCTACATTCTTGTCAAATCTATTACAACTCTGTCTGTTGGTTATAAAAAGAACTGATAGAAAATTACGTGATTTGATTCATAACAGCACAGTTGTTTTAGACTCCGTACACATACAAAAACAGACAGCATGTAACATGTACCATCAACAATTTAAACAGCTGTTCAAGGTAGTTTGCCTTTTAAAATGCTGATGTGCACTGGTATAAATGACTTCTTGTTATGGTTGCTTTTACTCAAAGGGACTCTGTATTGTGGCTCTGATAGCAGTACTTCATAAATTGGAAATAAAACATACTTTGGATCATTTGCTATGATAAAATATGATAAAATAATAAAAATATTAATAGATTTATGACACTAATGAGAGTGACTAAGGTAAGTTTTATGAATGGAACCCTTCCCTCAAAATTTAATTTTTTCCATGTAGCCTAAATGTCTGTTCAAACCCTACCAAAAAGCATAATTTTAGGCTATACTATAGTCAGTATTATTATTTTACATTTATTTGTAAATATAGTGCATTTTAAAATGTGTTTCACTTCTTGTCCTTGCTTGATCCATCAAAATAATAACCATTTTACATTTTAATCAATTATGGCCTTTTGATTTATTTATTTTTTTAAATGTAGACTGAGAATGTTAATGAAAGTCTATGAGGGGGTGCATTTTGCTGGAGGAGTGCGTTTTTAGGCACAACAGTAGCGTCTCTGCAACAAAGTGATGTCATGTCACACGCATTGCTGTTTCTGTGTGAAGTCAAAAAAGTGGTCTAACTCAGTGCCACTGCATAACTATAGATGTGTTAAAAATAATCAGAATATATATGTAATGAAGTTTTTGTTGGCCACCTAGCCATCAGAAAGGAGGAGACGGAGAACTGCCGAACTTTTAAATAATTTAATTATAAAAAATTCAAGAAAAAAACAGACAGCAACTCCTTACAGAGACTGCTGTCA